CCCCGGTTTCTCTGTCAAAACGGCATGTCTCAAACCCTGACTAGCAGGTGATATCTTAGTTCTCTGACATAAGTCGCAACAAGCTACAATTTTCCGAATGCTTCTCTGCATTTTCGGCCAATAAAAATGTGTCTTCATGTTATTATAAGTTTTAGTTGATCCGAAATGACCAATACTCTCATGTTGGAATTTTATCAACTTAACAATTTGATTACGTGGCACACATAACTTACAACCACTACTTTCCATATTCCCTTTGCGAAACAACAATCCATCCTGAACGATATACCATTTTAGAATTTTTTTGTGTCCGCTGCTCAATGTGTCATAACTTCTATCATATTTTTCAAGAAATCCAATTTTTGACTCAATCCACTCCTCATTCAACTGATCTACCCTCAGATCTTTCACAATGTATTTTAAAACTTTGTTATCAATGCCCAATCTCGTGAAGAAAATTTGAATATTCTCAGCATTATAGTTTGGCTCCGCTAATTGACTTTTTTCTGTCGGATTACGCGATAATACATCCGCCACGACATTTTCCACCCCTTTACAGTGACGTATTTCAAAATTAAACTCCTGGATATATATAATCCATCTAGTAAGCCGTGCACTTCTGAATTGGCTTTTCATTAAAAACTGTAATGATTTGTGATCGCTGAATATAACCAATGAACGACCCAAAATTAACACTCGCCATTGCTTTAAACAACATACTACCCCCCATAATTCTTTTTCTGTCACCGTATAGCGCAATTGACTGGATTTCAATGTTTTACTAGTATATGCTATAACACGTTTCTCAGAAGTTTCGCTATCAATCTGATACAAACTACCTCCTACCGCAAAATGAGAACTATCGCACTCTATAAAAAATGTACGATTATGATCCGGGTGCGAAACCATGGTGACGGATAAAAAAGCTTCTTTGATTTCTGTAAAAGCTGTTTGTTCACGTTCGGTCCATCTCCATAGTGTACCTTTTTTTAATAATTCTAATAAAGGAATGGTGAGTTGTGAGTAATTTCTACAGAATCGATTATCGTAATTTACTAGACCCAAAAATCCTCTAAGCCCCTTAACATTTTTCGGCGCAGGGAACTTTTCGATTGCTTCAATTCTTTGATTATCCATCAGAATTCCTTCTGATGTGATGACATGTCCCAGGAACAAAACCTCATTTTTGAAAAATTGAGATTTTCTGAGTTTTACTGTGAATCCTGCTACTGATAATTTTGAAAATACATTATTCAAATGTTCAAAATGCTGAACATAATTATCTGAAAAAATGAGTAGATCATCCACATAAATGAACAGGAAATCTTGTTCACCCAAAACTAATTTTAAACACCTTATCAGGCTAGCCATCGATGTAGATAATCCAAACGGGACCCTATTAAAAGTATACGACATTCCCTCAAACATAAATCCTATATACTTTTGATCAGTTGATTTTATCGGCAGTTGCCAGTACGCGGCTGTTAGGTCAATGGTACTCAAAATTTGCCCCCTTTTAAAATTCAACAATAGCTCATGTGGATTGGGTGGCGCAATGAAGTCTTTGCCTATACGTTCATTCAAATACCTAGCGTCTAGGCATATTCTTATGGTATCATCTTTTTTCCGTACCGTCACAAGCGGTGAAATGAATTCAGTTTTCTCTGCTTTTATTATATCATTGTCAAGCATTTCTTGTATTTGTTTACGTACTTCCTTCCGGAAAATGAAAGGAACTGGGTAAGAGGGACAACAAAATGAGCTTGAATCTTTCATTTCAATAGTATGTTCATATTGACTACATAACCCAGGACTTTCTGAGAATAGATTATTATATTTATTCAGTAATTCGTATAACTCGTTCTTTTGCGAAACTGACGTGAGATTTGAAGATTCTACAGCCTTTCGAAAATCACTTTCTCCATATTTATGTTTCTGAACATGACAGTTCAATTTCTCAATTCGACTAACTACCAAATCATTACCTTCGTCCCTCAATAGTGAACACATATCATTCTGTTTACACAAAAAATCCAACTGATATTTCAAACTTTGGTAAGTGAAATTCAAAATCATACCATCAAAGTTCAGTTCCGCCTTGAAATCTTTCATCCAATCAGCTCCAAGTATTAAATTCGTATTCAGCTTAGGAACGATCAAGCATACCAACTCACAATTAACTTCACCTAGCAAAACTGATAACAAAGCTTGGCGCCTAACTTTTTGCGATTTTGCCCCTACTGCTACGATAATGGACGTGTTTGTCACTGGAATAACTGGTATATTACCTAAGTTCTTTTCCAAACGGTTGAAAAATTCTTCCGAAATCGCGGAAACTTCACTTCCACTGTCCAATAAAGCTTCCACCCTGTATTCATTTATAGCTACTTCTACTACAGGTGACTTAACATTAACTTGTGGACCATCTTTTCCATCATCATCATCGCTGAGTAAATAATCTTCCGGATCTTCATTGAACGCTGATATCAGATACATATTGTTCGTATCCGCACCAGAATTTCCGGAAGTCTGATTATTATTATTAGTATTTCTCGATATTTCGACATACCTGGCGTTATTATAATTTCCGCGATACTGATTTTCCCTATTATAACCCCTTTGATTATTCCTCACAGGATCCTGCTGACCACGCCACTGGTGTGAACTATTAACATTTTCAGCAGAATTATTAATATTAGCAAAAGTGTCATCAATTTTTCTCAGATAACTTTCTACATCTTCAATTGACTTCAATCCTTGTGTAATAATACCTCGCTGAATTTCACTAGAAAAATGTTTTGCAATCATGTCTACCAATGTTTCCGTTGGTATAAGTTGAGATAAACAATTAGCTTGTGCCACCAAATTCAAAAAATAATCCGCTCTTTTTTCTGAAGAACCCACTGCTTCAAATTTCCCATAACTGATTTTCAAATATAAATCTCTTTGCATCTCTATACCCCAAAATCTCTCCTTGAAAGCTTTTTCGAAATCTTCAAAAGTTACAAAAGAATCTTCCTTCATACATGCCCAATCTGCAGCTGACCCACGTAAGTTATTTATTGCCAAACTTGCTTTATAACCTTCTGGTACACCAGCATCTGATAATAATTTTTTAAACTTTTTTAGGAAAATAATTGGATGTACCTTCCCATTGGGATTGAAAGTTAAAGTTGCACCCCCCAATTCTCGCCAATTCAAAATATACGAACGATCCTGTATATTTAATGCTACCTGAGTTCCTTGACAATTACTTGTACCCCCCTGTATCTGACTATGACCATCTTTTTGCAGATGACACATTGATTGACTAGCTTCATGACTATTATTTACCTGTTGTGATAAATTTCCAATAGTTTGCTTCAATTCTCTCATATCCAAAGTAAGCTTCTTGATTAATTCATTCATATTCTTATTAGACAACTCTATCATCTCACTACCATTCTCTACTGACATACTTTCATCAGATATTCCATCCATATCCGTTTTATCACCATCCATACCTATCTTGTCACCCTTTGTACCCTTTTCCTTGTTATTCCCTCTTTTAGGGGGCATTATACAATACTCATCTACCTATTGTAATGAATTTTCAAATATAGTGAATGTCTCTCTGAATATCTAAATATCTGAATATCTACGATATAATGAAATGTTAGGTAATACTTGTTGCCACGAATTCTTGGCACCTGCCTGGACTTTTCTGCTCAGCTTTACCAGGAATCTTCCTGTCGATCCAACTGAGTTGACCCGTGAATTCTGTGCAGTTGCTCCTTTTCCAAAGTTACTCGTCAACTCAACAGCAACTATCCCTCTTCCCGTTGTCTCTCTAATCTTCAACCGCTGCTTCCTTATCTCCGATCTCCAATTTCCTTTCTTTCACGTTCTGCGCTCTATCTTCTACTACCGTTTTCTCACCTTGCCACTAGTTGGGCGCCAAATATGTGATGTGCTCTTGCTCAGGGTTCTTAGGTGATGAAAACCGCTTCTCGTTCTTCTCGTTTAATACAAATCAGTCGAATATACAATAATACGAACAGAAATGTAACATTCCATCATTTTTGTTCGAAGGAAAAATTACCCAAAAAGTCAAAGTGACAATCCTCTCTAAATCAATAGTTACTGCCTGTTGTTTTCAAAGCTGACCTAACCATTACAACTGATGAATAAAATCATTGATTTATTCCATTACAGTATGACATTAGCTTATTTATTAGTCCTCTCGTATCATCGGAAGTCTTCATCTTTCACAGTACTTGAAATTTCCATGAATCCTCAATGTATTGCTTCATATAAATATATATCCATTTTTGTATGTTCATGATTTATCTGAGAATACTCCTTTTCAACACTTTCATAGCCAATCAGGGGGTTCAAACTTGAACGATGAAAACTTGTGATTTTTATAGACCTCTAATCGCAGATACGTGATAGAGTCCCAATTCAGAATTTCTTTACACGCCCTGTATGATGAATGTCAATTTATCATACACTCAAAAGCAGAAATTTTGATTCGTAATGGCGCAACGAAGGATAAATTTAAAGTATCAGGTGGCCAAAAAGCTAGTGGTAGCTTCCTTCAAATTTTGAATCGACTCGGCCGTTACTTGATGGAAATCCATGACAAATGTAAAAACTTCACAAACGATAAGATTTTCACAAAATTCTCAAACACACGACATGTTTCGCTAAAGTCCGTATTACATGGTGCAGAAATTGGTACAATTATTCTATAGGAATGTTAGTGCAATTTTTTCTGCATCGTGTAATACATCAAATCTGAATCTGAATATTATAATCAAGAAATATAGGACGGGTTCTATTTCCTGATATATTTCTTGTACGTGATCATGCGCAGTGTACGTTAAGTTGAATTGCCAAGTTTTTTTGTTGTTGCGAGTCATTTGAGGTTAATTCACAAGAAATTATTTTAAATCTCAAAAAGTAGTTGTTACGAATGTTACGTTTATTTCAAATATCGTAGTCAGCCACAGTTACACATGAATTGGACAGCAGAACATGTTTTGGCACTCATAGAGGAATATCAAAAATTTCCATGTCTATATGCTGTGGAGAATATTTTATACCATAATAGAGTAGCTAGAGCTGAGGCCCTAGAATACATTAAGAATGCTCTTATTGTATTGCGACCATGCTTGAAGACTGAAGAAATAAAATCTGAATTTAATAGCTTGAGAACCACATATTTGGCCGAAAAACGTAAATATGATAAGGCCAAAAAAAGTGGTGCTGGTAGAGATTTCGTAAGTTCCCTGTTCTTGGTTTTTGTGTCAGAAATGAATGGTTGTTTGCATTATAGGTGTACGAGCCATCATTATGGTATTATCACCATATGGCCTTTTTGAATGAACATGTAGTGATCAGACAATCAGTATCAAATATGGAAGCAGCTAATTGCACATCTGTAGTAGAATCTGAAGATAGAGGAAGTGTATTAGATGACGATGATGAAACACAGGAGTTTTTTCTAACAAATCAGAATATTGAAATTATTGAAGATGAATCGGAAAATATGGTAAGCAAGTCTGTAGTTTCTATCAGATTGCCAAAATTCTATCTGAACTACATTTTTTATAATGAATTATCAATCATTTTCTGCCTTTTTTTCTTTTTAGAGCACAGAAACTGATGAAGTCTCCCAAATAATTGGGACACCAAAACAGCATGTAATTCCAAAATCCTCATTTAGAACTCCTGTAGTTAAAAGAAGAAGAAGGACCAATACTTCAGCAAATAATGATCGGGTCATTCTGAGGGAAGCAGGTAATGCCCTCAAAGAGATTTCCAATGTGTTGGTAAATCCACCACCATCCCCTGCAATACAGAGTTCATCTACACAAGAAGATCTCTTTGGTCAGCTTGTATCATCACGCCTTAAATTAATAAGAGACAAAAGATACAGATTTGAGGCACAGAAAAAAATTGATGAAATTCTTCATCATTACTTAGTAAATGAAGACTAAATCTATTTTATACTGATTTGTTCTAGAAATACCAAATATTATGTGATTATTGTGATGGCCTTAGTTGACTTGTTCATTACTAGTATTATGTACATATTTATATCCTAGAAGAATTATCATTATTTCTTTAGCTGGATATTTCTTTTATATTTTTCAAGTACCAAAGTTTTGAGTTCATTTTTTTTATAAAAATCAAAAATGCACTTTTTTTTAAATGAAAATATTTTAACGTCATACATATTAAAAAATTGTCAACACCTTCACTTATATTTTGTTAAAATATATTTATTCTGCCATGGTACTGCTCCATTTTCTGAATGGAAATAATTCATTAATTCTTCCCACATTTGCAGGACAGTATTCCTAGGTCTATTGCCAGCTTGGTGAATTCGAATGCTTCTCATAATCTCAGTATTCTCACAAAATTCTTCAATTGCACTATATTCAGAGTTTGTTTTGATTGAATAGTTGTGTAAACAAATACAAGCTAGAGTTATAATTACCACTTTCTCAGGAATAAGATTCATTGTGGAGAGGAATATCCGGAACCTATTGCTAAGAATTCCAAATGCATTTTCAGAAACATTTCTTGTTCTTGATAAACGATAGTTAAAAATACGCTTATCCAGACTTAAATTTTTGAAAGGAAATGGTTTCATTAATCTGGAAGATAGTGGAAAGGCATCATCAGCTACTATTGTATATGCAACTGGATTTTTTCCTCCTGGAAGTAAACAATTTGGGGGAGAGTTGAGGAAACCATTCTGAATATATTTATGTAGGCTGATTTGCCTAAATACACCTCCATCACTGATACGTCCATTGACACCCACATCAACATATATACAGAAAACAATAATTAGCATCAACTAAAGCAAGGAGTACAATGCTATGGGTTCCCTTATAATTTCAATAATATGACCCTGCACTTCTAGGTGGTCTGATTTTCACATGTTTTCCATCCAATGCTCCAATACACCGAGTAAAGTTCCATTTAGTTTTGAACTGTTCTGCTACATTCATCCACTCTTCTGAAGTATAAGGGCATTTGAGATAAGTGTCTTTCAAGCATAAATATTGTAGCAAAACCGATGTAATCGGTTTTTCTCTCAGGGATTATGTATTTGTTCGTACACAGTTCCAAGTATATGGTATAGATTTATTTGACAAATCTGACACTTTTTCAACAATCCTGTCAACTCTATAAAAATACAATGTTTACTATCAAACTACCTTCAGATTTTGAATCGGAACTCACCTATAAAAATACCAGATATGAAATATCGAAGACTGGAACCTTTGGCACGATAATACACTACACTGTTTTACCACTAACCAAACCGATTTTTTAACGCCTCGACACGTGTTTCGCTAACTATGTTAGCATCTTCAGGAGAAGATTAAAACTAAATATCCTATTCTAGTGTGCTGCTTATATACTAGGTATATGTTCACCCAACTGTGAAAAATACTAACCGTCAAGTTAATGTTTGTCAAGGTTGAGTTCACATGTTAATCTAAATTTTTATTTTACTAAACTATATAGAGGGCTATATGGAATAGGTCCATTATCCTTATTCATTACTCTATTACTATTCTTAAATATCTCTAAGCTTTCATATGCGTCTAGTTTTCTAATGTTATCAACTTGCTTAACTAATTTGAGGTTAGTAATATGTGTGTTATGATTGTGATTGAACATATGTTCGGCTACACAAGATTTATCTAACCTGCCATATTTCAAATGGGCTATGTGTTCTTTGAACCTTGTTTTTATGGGTCGCCTGGTTTGGCCTATATATGTTTTATCACAATCATTACAACTTATTTCGTATATTCCCGACTTTTCAAGTGTGTCCACTTTATCTTTCGGATTGCCTAATAAATTGCCTAATTTTGACCCAGACTGATAAACGCTTTCAAAACCTAAGTCTTTGAAAACCTTATCAATTCCCTTCGTATACTTGGGATTGTACGGGATTGGGATTCTTCTAGAGTTCTTTTTATCCGCTTGAAAAGTCGTAGAATATCGAAGTGTTAACTTAAATTTATGTCTACGTATTAATTTATCTACTATTTTGATATCATACCCATTGACGCCAGCCACTTTATAAACAACATTTCTTTCAGCATCGAATCTTTCTTTGCTGAGAGGAAATGAAATCAATCTGTGTACTAGAAAATTTAAACTTGCCATTTTGTACTGAAAACAGTGATTGGGAAAATAGCGAAAACAACTTAGAATTTGATGTCTTTAGAAAAGAAACTAACACATTTAGATACATACCTGATGACTCCAGATATCCAGATATGAATATCACTTATTTACTTGAAATAATATGATTTCGTTATATCCTGAGGATATTTAAATTTGTTGAAAGAAAATTGATACTATTTGCTATTACCAAATCCTGGCAACCGTAATAAGATATTCTGACCTGAAGTCATTTGCACCAAGTGAGTAATTTCCAATAACCAAATCTCCTGAACACAAACTTTCAATAGAAAAAACATTCGTTATGTTAGAAGAACATTGTTATGTTACATATGCTCCCCCACATTTCACAGATTCTGCGAAATTCTTGAAATGTATTTTCATAACGCATTGCTGTAATATTTTTTACAATGTGAAACATGAAACATACCCCGTTCTATTCCGTCCTGAGGATATTCTGATATAAATGTATTTACACCCACAATTTTTTTAATCCTATACGGCCCTTCGAACAGAATCATGAATTTTTTAGTTTCACCTGTAATTACTGAGGATATCAGGTTCGATTTCAATAAAACAAAATCTCCCATTTCAAATTTTTGCGTCATTTCTTTGCGACCCCTTTCTCTTCTTCGCACAGCTTTTTCTATCAATGAATTTTTCGCTGAAAATGATTCAACATGAGAATCCCTGTAGATTCGTGTGTAACTGAGTTCATAACACTAACTAACATTGGAATCTTATAAGCCCACTTAGTATGTTGAGTATTACAATATGTTCTAAACATTCGTCCAATTTCTCTCATTTTCCTCTCTACTGGATTAGCTTCCGGATGCCTGACAGAGGAATGTATCAACTTTATTCCATATTTATTCGCGAATTCTCTGAATAATTTCGCGGTTAATTGTGTCCCATTATCACATAATATACTTTTCGGCGAACCATGTTTGGAAAACAAATCTTTCTCAAAACAACGAATGATAGCTAAGGAATTTGCTTTTTCTATTTGGTAGAGCCAAGTAAATTTAGAAAAAACGTCTAACACCACAAATATAAACATTACCCGGCATTTTGGCAATGGTCCATAAAGATCAATAGAAAATAAATCTTTTGGAGCATCGGGAATTATAGCTTCACAGGGTGGTTTCGGAAGTGAGCCAGTTTTAACTCTTTGACATATATCACATGATTTCAATATTCTTTTGACATCCCTATGCATATTTTGCCACCAAACTTCTCTCTTCAAAGCCATCCACGTTTTGTAAACTCCATAATGTCCCAATCCTTCATGAAAACCAATAACAATATCTTTTATCTTCGACTTTGGTATACATAAAAGACCATGCTCATCTTCCGATTTTTGTGAAAAAAGCAAATCGTTAGGTATAACAAACCTCCCATCTTTATTGACCCCTACATCTGCAAACAATTTTGCCAATTTTGGATCATCCTTTTGATGTTTACCGATATTTCTCAGATCCTTTCTTTGCATCCGAGAATCGGACTGAGGAGCACATAATGCGAAAACATTTATCAGAAGGTGTTGGCGCTCTTACCGGTGGAAATCTTGATAGAATATCACAAACTATATTTTCTTTTCCCGAAATATACCTTACTTCAAAGTCATATTCCTGAAGAGCTAAAATCCACCTAGTTATAAGAGGCGACAATAAACGACAAGAATTAAAGTAGGTCAGACTTCGATGATCAGTTAAAATATAGAATTTTTTCCCAAGTAAATATGTTCTCCATTTAGTTAATGTAAATACTACCGCTAGAGCATCCTTTTAACATATACTGTATGATCTCTTTCTATCTAACAATAATCGGCTTCCATAGGCAATAATTTTTTTCTCATTATCAATGAGTTGAAATAGCTGAGCCCCAATTCCAATATCACTTGCATCTGTTTGAACCCAAAACGACTCCTGATGATTAGGATGATACAATAATACGTCCTGACTAACTAAATTCTTGACTCTCACGAATATAACGGTTCCGCTACCTCTGAAAGATATTCACAAAAAACTCTATCATAGTTACATAGTCCCAAAAATGATTGTAACTGCTTGATATTTTGAGGTATAGGAAAATCATGAATAGCTTGAACTCTTTTTGGATCAGACCGAACAAAGCTGTTGATCAGTTATTCAATCAATAAATTACCTCATGTCGTGGTTGGCTGTGGATTGTAAACATTTTTTTGCGTGTAGTACAAATTTGTTTGAAAAACAATGTTTTGCATAAGTTCTTGAAAGTATAAGGTCATAAAAAGGGCTATAGAAGTATCTTCATCATCATTGGGAATGTTGCGACCAGAAGATTCTGTAAAATCCTTCCGTACAACAATATCATCTGCCGATTTTGTTCACCGTATATTTTCCCCAATGGAATTTGGTGGGGTATAAACGCTGCCATCTTCATGATCCCAATATTAATCATCTCTACTAACATTATCGATTATGGACTCATTGTCCATATTAATATCATCAGTCTCCATATTGGTGATTTTTAACTCCATACTTGCATGATTCCGCTCAATGATTTCTTCATCATCGCTATCCCTGTCCGAGATGAGTGACTCATTATCGGATGGAATTCCATCTATCAGCTCGTAAAATTGATCTGATGGAATTTTGCAGAGATCAACAATATTCCAAATTTGTCTGCCTGAA